ACATTTAGACAAGCCTGTGAAATACTGGGAGAATATAGTCTGGTCAGATGAGACCAACATTGAACTGTTTGGATGSCAAGAGGTTTAAACGTTTCATAACTTCTCACCCAGGAGCCTCGCCCTCCTGACCTCCTTGACCTTTGAGATGTGAGAAGGTGAAAAGCTGGTGAGGTAAAAAGGTTTTATTTTAAAAAGAGCTGTAAGCCAGTGAAATGATGCCAAAACAAATAAAGGTCTTGCCTGAACGGGCCTTTGCTGCTAAAGAAGGAGTGRAGGTTTTATTATTTTTACAAACGTTTCCTGATTAGAGAAGTTCAAAGGCTATTAAATCAATCAGTGTTATTACCACGTGTCTACAGGAGCATCACTAAATGTCTTTGAGTTTCAGTTTACATGAATTTAATTCTTATTCTGATCAGAATAACTTTGATCAAACCATTTCTGATTGGCTGCACTGGACTCAGTTTGGATTTCCTCCTCCTGAGTCATGTTTACAGGACGAACCGTGACGATTCCACCTGATGTGAGGGTCGTTTTCAGGTCACAGTGACACCACCTTCAGTCATGTGACCTGATGCTTGTTTGTGTACAGTWCAGGCCTGCCTTTGTCCATGTGATGTGAGCAAACTACAGTATGTGAAAGTGCTGATGGGACCCCCCCCACCTGCTGCAGTAAAGCTCAAAGCCACAGAAGAACGATCCAGCGCCCTGCCTTTGTTGCTGCTGTTTGTGTGTTTACTGCCTGCTATAAAAAGCATCGGTGCCGTCGTGACTGGTGATTCTGTGGAAGACGATGGCCGCCGTACCAGGACCTCCTCTGCTCCTGCCTCTGTCTCTGCTGCTGCTGTTGAGCATGGCGTCCCCGCCTGCAGCAGCGTACACCCTCAACCCCGAACTGCAGCCGCAGCACAAAATCCTGCACCTGGGTGAGGGCAACGAGATGACTTTCAAAGCATCCAGAATGAGCTTTAAAATCATGCCTTTATTTGTTTGAAYGTGCTGTTTTCTCCTCTTAGATTGGCCAAAGGATTGTGGCATGGCTCACTTCAAACCTAACATGGCTGAAAGGATTGTCTCTGGGAACGAGGCCAGGCCTCACTCTTGGCCCTGGCAGGTGTCTTTGCAGGTAAATCGCAATCAGGATTCAGAGTTTCAGGGATCACTTGTGCTCTTTGACTGAGAACRATGCTCATCCTTGCTGCCTCTAATGCGGCAGGTAATCCTTATTTATCAGCAAAATGTGTGACACCTAAATGTTTTGGGATGTAAAAGTCAAAGCTAAAATATTTGAACAATTAAAGGCCATTAAAAAGCTTTTAATTGTGCAAAAGATCAAAAGTTTACTGTCTTCAAACACAAATTTCAGAGCAAAATCTTCTAAATCTGAAAGAAAACTAAACCACAAGCTTAATCGGACCACAGAAAATATGTTTTTTTCTTACTAGTAGAAGATATCAGCCTCTAAAATATCTTTATATAGGACCCATCACATCAAAACGAGGATTAAATTCAAAAGTGTGATGTGGATAAATAAGCAGACATAGAGTTTTGATTTAAATGTGTGCAAAAATTGCATTTTGTCAAAATATAATGAATTAATGCCTGATTAATTTATCATTTGAATGAACTGTCTGAAATAT